TCTACTAACACTAGTTTGTAAGTTTACACTAACACCTTATGGATCTTTGATGTCTGAAATAAATGATTATTATTATTATTATTATTATTATATTTTTTTATTTGTATTAATAAATAGCGAAATGGACTAAATACCGCTATAGATAGATTCTTATAAAGGTTTTATTAAACTAACACAAGCAATTTAGATCAGTACAGGCCTTTGAATGGACGTGTCAAACTAGTGACATTTCAATTTTCATACACGGCGGCTGTTGTAATTGGATCGCTTCGGTAACAAGTGATCTCCAAATCAAATTACCTGCGCTACGCCACGCCCGGAATCGCCGCGATGTCATGTCCACTTCCGCCCTTCCGGTGGTCACAACCTCTGTAGCGCTACAAGGTCAGAAGCGCTACGTGTAATGCTACACTGCTAGGGAGCTACGAGATTGTCTTTGCTATAGGAGAGTAGAAAAAGCGCTAATAATTAGCTTATTACTATTACTTTTGTGTAAAAGAGCGTTCGACTCAATTGCATCTCCTTTCACATGTCACTGTAATGGGTAGGAAATAAGCTTCCTCGACTGTACCTATAGCTTTAATGGCAGCGAGCTGTACAGCGCCGAGTGTTGCGGCTGTCACACACTCGCTGACCAATTCAATTACAGACGCGGTGCTGCAGCCGCCGCGCACTCCCCGCACCCCCGCACCCCCGCACCGCACACTTGTCGAATGATATCACATACTGATATTAATTGCATCTGAGTGGTAGCAGAGCGCAATTGTAATTCAAATTTCTAATCTATTTAATTATATTCTAGATAATAAGTAGGTATATAATTGACATCAAGGACCTTGTTGGCTGTCGCCGACACGTCACGTCACGTCACTTCACGTCACGTCTCTCATTAAGCTTCTTACTTATTCCCCTTCGCTGTCGGCAGCGAGTCCCGCGAGGAAATGGTTAAGCATTCAATTAAATAAGAAGGTGAATATGAAATGTTTATGTTTTTGTGGAGTTTTTAGACATTGCTTGAGGAAAATATACAATGAGAAAACCAATATATGTGGTACGGTCGTAACGTTAATAAACAGACGTTTTGTTTTATTGTTAAGTCATTGTTTTGATCATCGTATTATTTTTAGTACAAAACACCGTCAGAAAACTTTAAAGTGGCAAAAAAATTTTCTAAATTTCATTCAAGTCTTAAAAGTAAAAGAAATGTATAACAAATGTCAGGTTCAGCAAAAGAAAAACAACGCAATAAACGGAGAAAATCCTTACGTCAAAAAGCTGGTAAAACTTTTGCCAAACATTGATATGTCTGAAGTAAGTAATATGGCTGAAACCCGAGAAAGTTTCGTAACACGCCTTCAAGAGGAAACTAAATGGAGCGGCAAAACTTTTTCATTAGCCTCTACTGCCTCCGCTGTGTAGGTAACGATGCCACTTGACCAGACTTCACTTCAACCTTTTTAAGTACTACTAAAACAACATATCTTACTTATTTTTGTATTTAAAAATGTGTGGATTATGTGTGGTTACTGCGGTACTTCAGAACGGCTGAAGGAATTTGCTTGAAATTTGGGACAGATATAACTTACAGCTTAAAATACTCAGTTTTTTAAATTCTACGTGAAACTAGTGAGGGGACAAATTCGAATTAATCTGTGATATAAATAAATGTTTCTGTAATAAGTTAAATTAGTGTTATATGAAAAAGATCGTTGAAATGGAAATATTTCTTTCTCATTGATCCAAACATTGTGTTGTGATGTGTCGCTCGCGGGGTGTTTCCGAGCCGGCGGAGCGCGCTCTCCTCGCTGCCGAATTATCATCAAACACAACTTTATTGACACTGATTTACTCAATAAACAACCTTTTATACAACCAAAATATCTGATTAATTAAATATCAACACGGGCTGGTGATTTCTATTTCGATCCGTTACACATTTCAATTAACAATATTATTTAAAATTTGCACAAGATCCAAACGTTATCTTGAGAATATTTTTCACAAAACCTTTTTAATTAAATTCTTAATCTCAAGACGTGAATTCTTGCTCGATACCAGTTCTGTGGTTACATCAATCTTCTTTTAATCTATATTCATTATCTCATTGATAGAAAACACTGAACAATAATTTAGCCGTTCGTTTAAATAAATCTATGTAATGTTGTCGAACAGAACAGCTATTTCTCACATTTTCTTTGTGCGGTAATTAAAATCGTTGTTACCTAATTGGTCCAAAACCAGTTGATTACATTTCTATTCTTAATAATGGACTATCTTGAAAGTTGCAATACTATTAATTCTTTTTTAATGAATTACAAAATAAGACGAGAGAAAAAATACGGAACTAACTGAAACTATAAGTATTCTGTAGTGTAGGAGTCTACATTATCCTAAAAAACCTTTGTTTGAGATACGACATACCTCGTGTAGTTGTACAAAGAAATAATAATAAAAATCCGACCCCTGGATATGCACAATATTGTTGTAATGACGGTGTGAGCTGTGCCGAGCTGTGCCGAGCTGCCGGCCGCTGCATACAATATGCACATGCAATCTTTGCGAGTCTCTCCCGCTGCAGTTAACCTTAACGTCTTATTGCAACACTCCAATGTTTTCCATATCATACAAAGATGGCTTATGTAAATATACATGCACAACGTTGTCTCATATTTTTGTGTTAACTACAATTGTATTACACTGTTAGCTTACACTTTCTTTAACTTTGTAATAAACTTAAGCGGATAATAAAGCATGCATCTATTCTATGTATTGATTTTAATGAATCTTCACTAAGGACCTCCCTTACAGACCGCGTTCACTGAGTGCAAGACTTAGTGTAACATCCATTATATAAATATAAGTTACAATGGCGGAGATCAAAGCGGTCCTGGCAGTCGGCAGTCACGGATGTGTTGCAGCAGTAGAGGCAGCGGAGCCGCCGGCGATGACGTCACAAGACAGAGATCCAGCTCGCTCGTTGGATATTCCTTTGAGATCGCCGCCCTCATGAATACACAACGAGCGTAGCGACAACTTCCCAACTCCCTGAATACAGACATTATGAAATGCTTTGGAAAAACTCACAAGTCATTTATTATTACGGTTCATTTGCACAATCAATAGACATACGAATGAGTACAAATGTTAGTATTTATTCAACGCGCTTTTCTAATTTTCTATAATAAAAGTATAACTTCTATCTCTGTAAAGCAGTAAGTCTAATTGCTGGCTGTCTACATTGGTCCTTAAAATGTCGTCACTAATAAGCACTATACAAAATTATTATTTTAGACGCTAGATGTCGCTTGCTTGTGAGGTCATTGCAACTGTAATTACTACGAGCAATAGGAAAGTAAAACGATTAGCCACGTGTCGGAGCGTACACCTGACAACGTGCATCGCGCAGCTCGCTTTATGTTCCAATAAAAGTTTATTGAATCAGAGCAATTGCGGCCATCTGTTGCTGTGAGAGTAGCCCGCACCTCCCCCGCCCCCTGCTCCCCCCCACACTGCAACACTCCACCGTGATGTATGTGGTAAATACAATAAAACTTGGTACACAATTCTGTTATTTTAAAGCTATAAATGGTTTTGTAATAGCTCTTTGCAGTTACATCTATGGTATATGACGAAAATTTATTTAATAACGAGTTCCCATTGTCGTAATACTTGTATCACAGCAATATTGATATCGTGTTCATATGAAAAAGTATTCAGTAGCGACTTGACTGCGACTGGAAAAGAATGTTTAAAAAATATGGTCAGATAATTTTCTAAACGTTTTACCGGAACACATCAAAGTACGTATGAGGGAAATGAGGTCATCGTATAAACGGAGATAACATTTTCCCTGTTAATACGTCATTACTCTTCCTCGTTACTCGTCCATATTACCGCCGCAAATGTCTTTTGCTCGGGAAATTTTATGTATTTTTAACAGCTTATGAGGGAAAAGGTCAGTCTGTTAAATTGCCACTGCCACTACCACTGGCACTGCCACTGGCGGGGAGCGGTTTGTTGAATTAAAATAAAAAACGTCAATTCGTTACTACATTAAATCTATGTAAAAACCTGTCTGTAGTTTTGTTTACTTTTTGTATCGTAAACGTTCAGTCATATCACAATGATTTTACAGTAAACAATTTAGCGGTTGACCATGATCCCATCAGATGTTGTGATGTGGTTGACAGATCGTACACGCTAGGTTTTAATATATTTTTTTTAAATACTGTCCATTACTTATTAAAACATAATAAAGAAGTTTTCCACTGGCCACTGATCGAAATAAGTTGATAAACATTAATGTCCCTCTGCTCACGTTAGTCAACACAAGTCTGCAAGCTATGACCGCTGGGCGGGTGGAGCGGCGCGGGCGCGATGGGCGGCGCCGCCAGCGCGGGCGGCGGCGGGTCAGCGCGACGCAATACACTTGATTTCCTTTGGGTATTTAAACTGCTCGTTTTCTTCGTCTTTGATTCGA